AAAACCTCATTATTTAATAACTATAATCCAAACTTCAAACAAGATGCAGTTCAATGTCTACTGAATAATTTCAGTATAAAGTTATTTGCTTTTCTACATCGGTTCCTTTTAGCCCATTTTGAGCACACTTTAAATGTACACAAGCCAAAAAAATCCCAAAACAGCCCCTTCCAAATAAAATCAACTGAACAGCTGTCAAATATGCAAAGAAAATAAATCATTATGTGATAAATTGAGGCTGGTTTTGCTGCTAAGTTCATTAGAAAAGAAATCTTCTTCCAGAAGCTACTTAGAAAACACATTAAGTTCAATTTTTATTTCATGGATTTTCAAACATGTTTCTGCTTGGTACATTTAAAAAAAAAGAAGTCTGACAACTAACAGGATGCTGAATATGACTTGGTTCCCAGCAAAACCATGAATAAGTCATGTTTGAAAACATATTTTCAGATCTTGATGAATTGCATCAAGGTAATTAAAGGTGAGACTTGATTAGTTGACTCATTTCCAAACATGAACGTTCTTGCCTGTACTCCAGGCAAAATTATGGTGAGTGTTTTTGCAAATTTTCTAGCATGATGAATTTTTCTCAGTATAATCTAGGCCCCGAGGGGCCTAACTTTCCTGTTAATTGGAATACAAATGAAATCTGTCATTCAATAATTGAGGTACATAATGACATATGGAGAACAGTAAGCATCCATCGTATCTGTATATTTATGTGGCAACTTGTAGACTGTTGAGCATACAGAGTACTTATCCCTTTATAAAAGATCACCTGTCAGAATCCATCTTGTGCCATTCACTAACTTCTGCCAGAGGACACGTATATATATATATATATGTACGTGCACACACACATATATATAAACACACACACACATATACACCTTTAAGGTACTTCTCCAGCTATACTTTGCTGTTCTGTGCTCATGATGACTAGAATATATATGTGGCTTTTTAATTTGGTATGGCCTTAAGGGGCTGGTCTGCCAATATGCCAGGTGAACCTGTACTTCATCATCCAGGGGCAGAATTGGGTCTTAATTTCTAACAGTGACTAAATGACGTGTGGATGTTTCAAAGACATTTGGAAGTGCCTTGAGGTCCTCCAATGACATGAGTATAAAGCACAGTATTTGCTGCTAATCTTAATTAATTTACTGGCTTGATCTCTTACAGTAAAACTTCCATTTAATATTAGCTACTACAAAACCATCAGCAGTAAGATGCATAAAAAATAAATACTGAAATCACTGTCTGCACATTATGTAGACTTCAAACCCACATTCCTGGAATGAAATTATAGGCACCCTGAAGCCAGCGGGAATCTGGCAGTCTTGCCAGTGATTTCACCGGGACAGAGATTTTACTTCACTATCCTTAGCTTAGTTTACTTTGTATTAGGTGGTTATGAAGTTGTGAGAAGAGCTTAGCAATCCTTCTTTTCAAAAACCTGGCTTCCCAAAAATTGCAGCTGGTAGAGGTAAGCAAAATTTTTCAGTTGAAATTTTTTCAGCAAATAGTGCAAATTTTGGCATCGGCTTAGTTTTGCTGAATTGCTTTCTGTAAAAACAGAAAAAGTAAGTGAAAAGGCTGGAGTTTTCATTTGAAATGACGTCATGCCACTCCATTTTACTTTTCCCTGGCTTTGAACAGTTTGATAGTATCAACAAGCTTAAAAAAAAATATTATTTTTTATATATATATATACACACACTTAAGGTTTTCAGAATTAGTAACAAGTTGAAAAATCAGTTACTCAACACAGGTCTAACAGTAAGGGATAAGAAATTTAACTTTGAAACTTGATAGTTTAAATATAGAAATTTAACTTTGAAATTTAATAGTTTAAATATAAAACGAAAGCATACCCAGTCCATACCTTATGGCCCGATCCTGTTCCCAAAAATGTTAATGCAAGCTCTTTCATCAGTGGGATCTGCAAGCACTGACAGCAATTGCAATAAGCCCCTGAAATCCGCAACAAGAAGAAGGAAATATACTCTCTGAACTAGTAAAACTTTAATTAACAGGGGGTTCTCTTGGCACAGTTTTTGCTGTTAAATAAATAAAGCATTTAGTCAAAACCATCTTTATTTACTATACAAAATACTGAAAAGCAAACATTTTTAAAAGATATGGAAATTTAAGGTTCTGAGAAAAGAAACTGTGCTACATGTTATTCACACTTAATGCACGTAACACAACTGCAACACAGTATTTAGATACTGTATGTTCATACATGGCTGGTGTAAAGTTTTAGTATGGGGATGCCACGTTATTAAAATTTATTTGTATTTCACAGAATCTGAGCAAGGTAGAATTTGTCTTTTGAATCTCCAAATATAATAAGCCAAAACAAATCAATGCAAGACTGTAACCAATGGTCAGCTGTGTTACATTTCAGAGTTCACTTGGCACAGCTAATACTGCACACTTTTCAGTCAGATGGGATTTTGTTATCGGTGCTGTTCTCTTTTCCAGCAAAATATCTTTGGGTGAAAGAGCATTTATGCCCATTTGCTGCCCTTTCTTAGAAAAACCCACAGTTCTGAAAGCACTCTAGTTTTCCAGAACGTTTTCTGGTTTTCAGCAACAAGCTGCATTAAAAAAATTGACTAAGAAACAATTCCCACCTCCCAGTCTTTCTGGCATATGCTCTGCTGAAAAGAGAACAGCTTTAATTACATCTTCAAAACAAATAGCATGGCATCCCTTCTTCGATGGAATGTACACTTGTGTGTTTGCATGCGGGATAACATAAGTCACTTGAATACATCAGACTTTGTTAACACTATAATATAAATAAGCTTATTCCTTCTACTAGACATATAAATGCCTTTTTTCTTTGCAGTCCATAATTATATATACATTGAAAAAGAATGATACACAAGCAGCAAAAAAGGCTTAGACTAGAACAACTCAGTGGTAACTAACCAAATTTGTGGCCTTTTCATATTTTCAATACAGAAAATTCTGCATATAAATATTTTTGGACTTTAGGAATTTTAAAAATAAACAGAACAGTATAGTTGTCACACAGATCAAACACATTTTAAAAACATTTTGTTAGATTTCAGAAAAAGCTGTTGACAGCTAAAAAAAATAAAATAAAATAAACCAGATTTTTTAAAGAGGACAGTAAGTCTAAACAACTGCTGATCCAGGGAGACAAGAGATGGACCTAATTACCATGAAGCAGTGATTCTATTCCAATTCCACAAGAAGGCAAGGCTTTCCACTTTTCTTTAAAAGTTGATGTCTCCATGTTCTTAGAAAGGACAACATCCCTCTAAAACTGGTCAGCAGTAACGTAATACCCCATTTTGGACTGATCAAATCTCTAGTGAGAAAAAAAATACCCTAATCATAAAGGGCTTATAACAATGTGGGATAGTTACATTTTACAATATATACTACAGACAAAATACCACAACATTTAAAATAATTAAAACCAAAAGCAAGTATGTTTATAGAACAATTATGGTTTTATGTGAGGAGTTTTCTACTTTAATGTTCCAAAAGCAACAGAGGTGGTTTTCAGTCACTTTCTACCTGCAAAATGGTGATCTGTACAAAACCCAACTGAATGTATTATACATCTGGGCCCCACAGAAAGTAAAACTTGAGTGTACTGGCCCTTTTTTTCACTCTTCCAATTTGCTTTTGACCTTCAAATTTCTCAGCAGCCAGTAAGGTCTTGTGAGTATGGTCTCATTCTCCTTCATGGAATGGAAGCCCTTTGATATGGAAAAAGTAGAAGAGGCCAGAATGATTGTGAACGATATTTTTTTACATGTTGAATTGACTCTAAAATGGGAGAATCGCAAATTGGTAGGTGCTGGGGAAATTTAAATTGGAGACACCTAAGAAAATGCCATGGCATATGTTTCTAAAAAGTCACTGTTGTGGAAAAAAAAATTATAATGTTAATATTCAAACCACAGATTTCTAAAACACAACAAAATGTACCTGAGAGTGTGCATATTTATATATATATATTTATATTTATATTTTATATATATTTGCCAACATTTAAAGTGAGAAAGTATATTTTCCTCAATTCTTTCTCAAAACAAAGAACTGTGGATTTAAACAAAACAAAACCCCCAAACAACCCCTCTCCTTCTCAAACCCCCATGAATGATACTTATGGCCCAAGCACTAAAGTCTAGTGATGCTTTTGAAAACCCCATTTCACATCCTCCTCTTTTCAAATGGTTACCCCAAACAGAATGGAGAGTAAGCAAGAGAAAAACCAAAAATAAAAGAAGTATATTTAAATATTACCCAGTATATAACAGACTGTACTTGTGTCAGTGAAGAATCGCCAAGAAAATAATGTGTAAGTCGTACAAATGTAGCTCTGTTGACAAGTATAGCTAATATTTCCTTGTAATTATTAAGATAATTTGAAAGGATGTGAACACAAACAGGCTACATGAATGCAGTATATTAAAATCCCCCCCCCTGTAGAACATTACAATCAATAAAAAGAAAATAAAATCTGAATAATACTAGAGGTAGCAGCTGTTTGTATTTTCCATTATTCTGAGTATCTCTGGAGTCCAACCCTTCGAACATTGCTCCCCTGATAAAAGGCTTGTGTGCGATCAGCCGACATACAGCAGAGTGGTAAGCTAGATGTCTGCAATAATGTTTGAAGTATCTTTCCTACTACAATGGAAGTAGTACTTGTAAAGAAGTGCGTTGACGACCTGTATTAAATCACAGCTCAAAAAGCTTTGGCTTTTTTCTTTTTTACAAGCCACTTTTAAAAAAAAAAAAATCCACAAGGTGTTTAAGTAAGCTATGCATTTCCACAACTTATAAATAGGGTAAGTTTCAAGAGTTCCATATAACTTCTAAAATATATGCTAGATGAATATTAATGGAGTAACAATAATATTAATCATAGTAATGCCTTAGTTCTGGTATCACAAGAACGCATTTCCTTCATATGGGATGATTCTTGGAGGATGTTGGTGGGATCTCTTCTATGTCTGGTAGAAGTGATGGTAGTGGTGGTGGTGCTCATGGTGGTGGTGGTGTTCATGTCTTTGTATCATTTGTCCAACTTGGCCTTCATATAAAATGACTGTTGGCAGGTCTCTCACATGTTCCTTTTCCACAACTGTCCCTGGAGACTGGAAGGTTTTGCACATTTGGTGATTCTCCTTTGCCCTCTGCTTATGCTTCTTGTGAACCTGTTGAGATTGCAAGGGGAGGTAAGGAAGATTCTGGCCCACTCGTGCACTTGGGGAAGCCATTGGCATGGGCACCCCTTGAAAAGGTTTATTTCTAACCGCCCTTCCAGGATGCACAGGGGCAACATTTTTGCCCTGGGCCTTGGGAGACCTCACAAAGTGCTTGTTTGAGTCCTGGTTCCGGAGCCTCTGCTGGATTTCGGCAATCTTGGCATATGAACTTTCAGCCAGATTGATGTGGCTTGGATCCACTACTTGAGATTTCCTATGGTGAGCATGGAAGGTTTCAGGTTCATGAGAACGGGATCTAGTCTGATTCACAACTTTGCTTGGTGGGTCATGTTTTTGAGCTGCTGGAGGAGATCCTAGGAAATAACAAGCTGAGTTTAGTCATCTAGTATTTCAAAGTTTTACTTAGTAGCATGCAGTTGGCAGGGATAGCATTATCGGTAGAGTGAATTTTTCCTAAGGAAGTGAATGCAATTATAGCTGTCTAGTTTAATTACATTTAATAATTCTGACTAGTAAATAATACACACACAAATATACGCACATATCTATATAAGAGTGAATGTGTGTGTGGGTGTGTATGTGTTTTATAAAAGTCTTTACATTACCTTCTCTTGGTCATCATCTATCTGAAATTCACCAAAATAACTGTGAGTGGAATAGTAAAATCTTGGCAGAGGACAAGGAAAGGGAGGAAATCCAAATCCCTTTAATCTGGGGACAGAAGCCAAAATTCCAGGTATGAACCCACATTCTCCTATTTTTGGGTCAGTAGTGAGTACAAAATATGTGCTGGTATCATCTTGGGAACGAGCTCCAACATCCAAAAATCAGTCCTCGCCTCACCCGTAGACTAAACTTAATAATTTAGATGTAAAGATTGTTCTCCTAGGCTCACCTCCAAGTTTAGCTACACAAACAAGTACTTCAAAGCAGGCTTGCAGTACATTAGCCACTCTGTTGTGATACCACCTTCACCAGTAATTATCTTGCAGTATTCACACAGTCCTATTCCTTCCAGTCAGTCACTACAGACAAATCACACAGGTTCACAATTCACTGCCCCTGATGTGGAACATGCAACTGAAGAAAGAAAAGACGAAAAGGTTGCACCATAAATTACCAAATTACCTGGCCCAAACTTTGATGTGTAGTTTTCTATTCCTGCAAGATCCAAATAGTGGTTTCTCCTTTCAATGTTCTCATCAACACAATGACGATAGCACCCACTTTGCTCTGGATTGTTCTCACTCTGGTGATATCTGTCAGCAGGAAGCAAAATTACAATTCAGCAGAACTTCTTTAAAGTTGTTATCACCATCTGCAAACCAACAACTAATGGCCCCTTTGAAGTGACAGGAGTTGCTCACAAAGAAACAACAAACGCTTGAAATTCTGGATGACCGGATTTGCTAAGTCGAGAGGCCTGAACTGACTGTTCTTTCCCCTCATATAAATCGACCCCGATGTTGCAAAGCAAAGGAGGCTTTCAAATTGCATCACACATGCAAAAACAAATAAAAATGCTCCTAAGGTTTATTACATTCTGCCTTAGGGCCAAACCATTCAACTGATTCTCCAATTTGGACATGCCAAAGAAAACCTGCTGTTTGATTCATGACTGTTCCCACCACTGTCAGGAAGCACTGGGGTAAGCCTCGTGTTGGATAAACATTCATGTGTATCTGCTTCAGAAAGACAGGCAACAGCACAGGTGTAGTAACTAGAGAGAGCCTGAGAAGAGAAGGTGTTGGTAGGACACCCAGAGATAACCGCTGCTTTCCACAACACAATTAATAAGGTCAGATCAGCCACTGGCTTCAGAATCTCCATTCCTTTTCCTGCTCAGCTTTGCAATTCTATTTATAGCAGAACTATTTCCTGAGAATGAATATCTGAAATACCATTCATTTATGAGGCAGAAAAAAATCAGGCAGAGGTTTACAGTATTGTAGCCCATAATGCCGAACAATTTAATTCAGCAATTTAAATGGAAGTCTGCAGTTATCAACAATATTTTCAATATAACAAACAGGATTGTTTGTTGATTAAGTCACTGCCTGTCATTCAGATAGTTCAGTCTCCAAGACCACAGGATAGGCTTTGCTCTTTCTCTGTGCAATTGCACTGGTGTCAACCTAAGACCAGAATTCGGCCTTGTACCCTACAACAGTTGCTAAATATGCGCTCTGTACTGTATGGTGCCCAGTACCCCACTTTTAGTCTACTTCCAGGTTTCCAGAGGCTGCTGATCCCATTGAGCTTTGGCACAAACTGCTTTCCTGGTTTAGGGTAGTACTGTTCAGGGACATTACAGAACCGAGTCCCCCGTATCTCTGTCAGACACAGGTCTACAGTTTCTCTGATAAAAGTCGCAAGACTTGACCTACCTGGAAGATCGTTTTTGCTCTACTTTGATAGAGGTAGAGTCTCCTGAATGGAGGAGAGTCTGCCTGGAAAGCAGGTAAGCTTTAAAGATTCCGAGTCAACTTTGAACTCCCGAAGTGACATGGGGTACTGTCAAAAAAGAGGGAATGTCCAGATATCCTTTTTTTTTTTGGATACATAGCCAACTCAGTACCTTTCCTGCCTCAGACGCACCTTTACAGGTTGTTACACTTTAGCAGGTCAACATAAAAGATCTCTGGGGCTAGAACCTGGCTAACTAAGTTGCCGGGCATGAATTGCCTATGGAAACCATTGGGACTTGCACAGATGTGCTGAAAACAATGCATAGTTAACCCAGAAAAAATCATTGGATCATTGGGTTTGATCCAACACAATTAAGCAACACTGTATACAGCACTGTGTGTTGAAACCTAAGTTAACAGGGAACCTGTTTTTTGTTACTCTAATAAATTCCATCTCTCATCAAGACAGTGAAGAAAAACTACGCCAGTACTGCCACAGCCCTGCATTCTAATAGCTTTCTTACATGCAAGATGATGTTCAACAATATTCATGTAAATATACACAGTGAAGCAATTATATACTGATGAGAGATGTGCTCTACTGTCAGAGAGAACTGAAGCGTCTGGCATCCAGCCCCACAATGCTCTCCTGCATACACATGGGAAGACACAGGCATGCATCAACCATGCATCAAGCACAGGGTGTAAAAATATACAGTGTTGTTACTGTTTTTTGGTTTGGTTTTGTTTTTAATAAAAAAAGGCATCTGCTTAAGGGTTTGTGGAGTGTATGAAAGCCCTTTCTAAAATTCCCATGCTGGAGTGTCATCCTGATCGTAATAACCACACAGCAATATAGTAGGTAAAGGGAATAGAGCAGGAAAAATGCAAGGACATTTCCTGAAAGCAATGCTCACTAATAATGTAGAGTTTAAGCCAGTCAGGGAGAAATCACTTAATCAGGAAAGAAAGAGAGAACGAGAATGTGTATCTGTGGGTAAAAGGAAGATGTTTTAGAGGCTGGTGTGCATCATATTTTCCCTGTTGCACTAAACTAAATATAAACTAGAATGGCATGAAGATACCCAATCCACAAAGTTGCCTGCCAGTGCTCTTTCACCATCCATTTTGTACCACACATGCCAGGCAAGCTAGCTATGAATCTAGTTACTTGATCTTGATACTTGTATTAGCCCTACAGGTGAAAACTCCTGCCTGTAGCTTCCATCAGATGAAAAATCTAATCCATCTATCTCCCACCTTCGAGATAAAAACATTTCTATCCATTTTATTTTGAATATTAATCACATCTTGCCTAGAATTCCTAAGTGACTGAATTTGTGAAATGTGTGCACTTCTCACAAGTCCTCATTGCTGCTTTCAAAGGGGAAACCTCTGCATTAATATTGTGAGATACTGATGAGCCTCAGGGAGCTTTCCAGAGGGTTAGCAATTTGGTCAGAGTGCACAAACAGCCCTGCAACATACACAGTGTGAACAGAACATTATTTGTCCTGGCCATATTTAATAAGATGCAACAAAAACTGTTACGTGCTGACAGTTGTCTGATGCTGATCTGCTCAGCTCAAGATACAGGTTTGTCCTATCTAGGAAGCCTCTAACAAAAAGGATGAGAAGGACAAATGCAGCAGAGCCAAGATTCTACCCCAACATTTGATGCCTCTATGACTGTGGATTTCAGTAGAAATGGCTGCTGTTCATAAAACCACTACATTTGCAAAACCAGGACTTTAAGGTGGTTGGGAGGGGGACTTCAAACTGAAAGGGGATTTTTCAATAGATTATCACACAAAAGCAGCCCATTAAATTCACACAGGGCAAACCTTTGCTAATGGGCAGAGGGAATCTGAACACCACATCTAGGCCAGCAAGCAAAACAACGGAGTATTCTTTAGTTCACATGGAGTGTTCTTTAGTTCACAAAAGATTTTGTACAGAGTTGCTAACAAAAAATTAAGTCATTTTAAGTCTTTTTTTAATCTGAAATTTGATTGTACTGGGATTCACTCACTGGGATAACGCACTAGCATTTTTACTCTATCCAAAAAAGGGAGGCACAGTTTTGTTGTCATTTTTAATAAAACTGAATGCTCCTTCTCCTGATAAATTTGATAAACTAAATACATGTATTTGGACAAATATCCCTAAATCCAAGGAAAGCCAAAAATGGATTTTTATTTTTTTTAAATTTGCAGCTGAAGAAACAAATGCAACTAATGAGTCAATGTTCTTACTGTAGCATTTCAGCAAACGCTTCCCTCTGCCTTAGCATGAAACATAAAATCCTAAAACAAATCAAACCTATACACCAAGATGACCTGTTTGGAGCAACTAATCTACATTAAAATGCATCAAAATTACCTGCTTTTGATTTGTTTTTCTATCCATTAAAATACCAAATTCAGAAAAGGAATAGCACACCTACATGTGACCGAGAGATTAACATTTTTCTTAGCTGTAAAAAAATTTAATACTTGAAAAATACATTGCAAATGATTATCACATACTCTGAAGTTCAGTGCAGGTAGTATCTATCAGGTAGGTAGAACTCATGATAACAGGGTAGATACACATGATTACACATTTTCAGAGGAAAAAGGCCTGTTCTGGACTAGCATCCAAAATAATATTCTACATTCTGTTAGGGAAGAACTAAAAACCTTTTCTTATCTAATCTGTAGATGGCTGCAAGTATACCTGCAGCTCTTCATAAAAGAAACCACTGTGTTTGTGCTGTATTGGAAATGGATGCACTCCGAGTCACGCAGGTTGGATTCCACTGAAAGACAACAGACAGGTATTTTTTCAAAGTGGTGAAATGTATCCTGAAACTTATGGGAAAAAAAGATAAATTATCCAAATTTTCCTGCAAGATTACATTAAATATACTGGTTCTAAGCAAGCAGGCTAATTCCTACATGGATACTACTTAATAACTAATTCTGTAAAGGAGAAGTTGACCTAAAGCTGATGTGGCAGCGGGGAAGCATGGTTTCTGGCAGGTGGGTGTCAGCAGAGATAGCCACTCTGCTAAGTCACTGTGAGGTAAGAAAGAGGTGAATTTACTTCTACCAAATGTACAAACACACTTTGTAAGTAGAGTTGAGTCACCCCACAGTTGCTATAAGCCAGAACTACCTCAACAGAAGGGAGCATGGCTCAGGCAGTGTGCTGGAAGTTCTTGCTTGTCGCTTACTCTGCGGGACATAGCCAACGTAGACCACTTGCTGTAAAGCTGATTGTCTGCTGCTCTGCTGCGAGCTCCCTTCTTCCCTCCTTCTGCTAGGTACTGTACCCAGTGCCAGCTCAAAGCTGCTTCCTTTAGGAGGAAAGGTGGTAAGGAGAAGCAGGTCTGGCTATGACCTGGTAAACAAGATCAAATTAATATAACTTGGAGCTAACGGAGTTGACCAGTGAAAAAGATGGGCTGGAAGGAGGACAGAGAAAGGCAGGAGCTGGCCTCCTGTGACGATGAAAAGGTTTTAGGACACTTTCAGCCAAAAGGCTGTGCGATAAACTCCACTAGTAGGTACAGTATTTGCAGATGGCATCTAAAAAGACACTGCATGTCCTCCAAAGAGCCAACAGAAGAAGAAAATTTGAGTAATGGGTGCTACAGATTTGCTTTTTTGTTTTTTTGCTTTAATGCACGAAGTATCCACCCATGAAATCTGCTGATGGTTTCACAGTGAAAAATCCTGTAATTCCTCTGTTTTAACATATTTTTTAAAAAATAAAGCAAGGAAGCAAGCAAGAAATCAGTGGTTGAGCTTTTCTCAGAGGTACCCAGTGCCTGTCAGGAGACAGGGTTCCTTCCTCTTACCTGAGAGAAGCCCGCTGCTTCTTCTCAGAGCTTCTTACTTCTTCATTAGCTTTGCTTTCAGTTCGATGCCTGGCACTCTGCAAATCTGCCAACAAGAGAAAATACATTATTCTCACATTACCGTCCTTGCTGATCAGCATAACTAATATGCTACATTGCAAATACATTTCTTCTTGTCGGTAGATCAAGATGTAATGTATCATTTCGTGTAACCTTCTCAAAGCTGCTTTTGTCCGCAAGACAGATTTTAGGCAGACATAACCTTGACTGTAGGACATTAGTCAGGGTTAGGCTGCAAGCCATGTGGCAAGTTAAATGAAGCCACATTCACGCCGATACACTTGTCCCTCAGGAGGGCTCGGTAGTTTGGAGCTCGGTGCTGTACTAATGCATCACATAGCTCCCCAGCAGTGCAAATTTGTTTATGTCTGCGCTTGACTGAGTGGATGTATGTATTAAAACTGAGGTAACAAGGCTCTCCTTTTGGATAAGGTGCCCACATTTTCTACTGAAGTATTACTTTAAATAGTTTTAAGTATTTTAATTTAGTACTACTTTATCTACTGAAGTAATTATGCTGATACAACTATTATTAGAGTGAATAAGATGAATGAGCCATCAGAGTATAAGCTATTTTATAATGGCAGACTCTGCCAGTACAGAAAAACGTGCAATTTTTATGCATAGATTCATAAAAGTTACTTATGCTTAATTGTTTATTCTTATCCAGCAGCAGTGATAGCTGTGTGCTTGCAAAAAACATTTTACACCACTACACCTGTTTCCACACAAACTGAGTGCTGTAATATCAGCAGAGTTAAAGTGGTACAAGTTGAAAAGACCTTAAATCTGCCTTGCAGTACACAAAGACAATTACACAACATATGGGTTATTGCTGCTGCCAAGAAGCAACAATCAATCAGGAGAGGGAACCCTAATTTGCTTAAGAGACACTGAAAGGAGAGTAGACAATTTTGCACCCAAGATCTTAAAACAGGTTCATGGGGTTTAAAATACCCACATAATTATTTGCCTCTAAGTACATATTTATTTGTGTTAACAAAATACAAAGATGGATTTTTAAAGGATTCTTGAAGTTTTTCGTATTTTTTCCAATGGCTGATTGCACATCCTTACCAGCATGATTTAACAAGATACTCTTTTTCTTCTGGCTGCCATCTGGTGCCACAGTAAGTTTCACTCGCAGAGTTTTGCTGGAACTAGGAGAATGGTTTACTGATGCATCAACTACCTCATAGATGGTATGAAGCAAGCTGGTAATATCCTATAGTTGGGTTGAAACACAAAAAGACACACTATTGTGAGAATGGTATGAAACCTACAGCTTTGATACTTACAACTATTTCCGACTTGGGACTATTAAATGCTGAAATATCCTCAGAAGTCACTGAATTTGAAAGAGCTGAACTTGCACAGAACCTTACAAGAAAGGATCAATTTCTCTCTTTGGTTAACCCCCACTTTTTCTAATATAGACTGTAATATAGCTCACAGACACAGAAGAGAATGATTCAAGTAGATCCATATTCTTCTTCATCAAATGGTGTAGGATTTATGAAATGGGGCAAACCAGATCAAAACAATAATAAAGCACAAGGCATTCAGGTTTCCCAAACTGTGAATCGGTAAAATTGTGTTCTGCCTTTTCTTTTCTTTGGTTTCAACAGAACCCAGGGATAACCATTCATACTGCACTAAAAACTGAGTTCACATGACCAAAACAAATACAGCAATTGAAGAAAATCTTGGACATTACAGTCTTACTACTTCTTGGGTTTTTTTCTTGGGATAGTTAAAGGATTGACTATATAGAGGAAAACCAGTAAAAGAAGTGGCAGAACGGTAAACCTCAGGTTTGGAAAGAAGTGATGTCTGAATGTCGCTCTACCATATGCATATTGGGGTCTACCTTATTTTGCAAAATTCAAACCAGTTCTAAACTTACATTTTTGAACAGCAGAGATTATCCAGTCAGGCCTATTACAGAACATTCTTCACACATCTCTTTGAAGGCAATGGGACATGAACAAATGCTTACGTGTCTAGCTATATCAGAAAGAACACTAGCCAATTTTAATAAGCCAATTCTTTCAAACAGGAGAAACACTGTTTAGTAGCTGGTGATGCTCAAAGGTCTCTCAGGTTGATCTAATCCAGCCAGGCTCAAATAAGGTACTACCTTTAATTGCCACAATGAAAAGGAGATCTCTTGGCTCGCTGCTTTTCCCCAAAGAGATTTCACCAAAATTGATCCTGGGGACCAACCTAAGGCTAAAGCATACTGATCATTGCAGGCTATAAACATTCCATTCAACGTATATCTGAGAATTTCTCCATGTTGGTCTTCCTATTCCTTGATCTATCCTAGTACCTAAGCTCTTTCCAGATGCCTGCGAGCACAAAGGAAATTTCTAAATCATCCTTCACTAAGTACAACTGGTTCTGAGGATTAAGAGTCAGGTCTATAAAATTCAAAAGCTCTACAATTTTTCCTTTGCCCAGGGGTCATGCCTGTAACAACGGCAGCTGGAAGTTTAGTAGGCTTTAATGGGTCCCAGCACTTTAGTAGTCAATATACCACACAGTCCACATTATCTAACCAGCTTTAAAGGTGACACAGAAATACTAATTTCTACTCACACATAATTTAGGGAAATACTGACCTTATGGCCAGGACAAATGATTTTACAGTAGGTGACTTTCCATCTCAATAGGCAGAACAAATAACTAAATCCTAGAGGGTCCAAGGCTTTGTCTTAACATGTACCTTCTCTAACTTTTCTGCACTCAGTGGAATTTCTCCAGACTTGTGAGTTCAAGACAACATATTCATAAAAAGAGAGCAGAATTTGCAGTCTCTCTTTTATTTCCCCACTGACATATTTTTTCTACCATTGCTGCAAGAGTCTCTATATATGGGCTGTTACTATCATGTCAGTAGCTGCTTTCCATCCTCTTGACAAGGACCACCGCCTAAAACTTGAATGAGGGAAAGACTGCTCAATGACAATCTGGTGGACACCTCAGCTCTTTAACACATCTCACTTCTCACACTTCCACCCTAACTTGAAACCTAGCCAGACCTCTAAATAGACACAGCCGTATCTAACAGCCAAGCTTGAAGGGCTGGAATTTTATTTCATCTATGAGAAAAACCCAACCAAGCAAGAACATAGACAGACAAACAAAACATATCCATTGTTTTATACGCCCTCCATAAATTATGTTCTAGGAGCCTTGTGCTATAATCCTACACCTCGACAAGCCAAACCTTCCCCTTCAGCAGAATACTTAAGCACCATATTTATTCTTAACAGGGCTTCATACACTCAGCACTTTGGTGAATGGAGTCTTTCCCATACATTCCTTAACAAGTGTTGGTTAGCCAACATGGCATCTTTCCACACAAGGCTACTATCAAGAGGTTATTATCAACTCTTTCATTCATGCTAATCTATCCTTCCTTTTTTCAGCTACACCAGATGTTTGTACAAGCTTATCATCTAGTCTATTTTAACTTTGGTAGGCAAAGACAAAAAGTCTTTACTCCCACTGTCCTTTTACATGTTTTTTTTTTTCCAGTGATGAGGTCTAACTTGCTAACTGGCATACAATCTGCCCCCTGTGTTCTGCGAGGGTCTTTCTCAACAAGCCACTTGACTCAGCAGTTTTAAAAGTACTCCCAAATGCTGTCAAGGAAGGCCAGATGCAGCATTTGTGTGACACATACTTGGCAATTCAGAAATATGTACACATGCATATCACATCAGGACAATTTACATCTCTCAGCCAACAGGCCCGAATTAACCCAAATTAATGTCCATGCTCCAAGCAGTTTAAGGGGCTGCACAGAGGTATCAGGACACTTTGTGGCCTTACGTTCTGCTGCCCGTGCATTTCGTTATGTGTTTAATACCCAGCTTCCTCCACAACAATCTGAACTGCTTTGCATTCTGGCACTGAATGAACGTGGTCATCAGACTGGATATATACCAAGATCGAGGTTAGGGATATCCATAAGTAACCGCTTAATGCTTATGCTGATCTTTTAAATACCGACAACATTTTTATTATAGGATTCACTTACTTGTGGTCCTAATTTGGGGTTGGAAATTCTAGCAAACTGACAGTTCTGATTTGGTCAAACAAGTCTGCTTGGGTCATTTGCTTCTCTGTCATCTACCAAGGTCCTGGCCGAGTATGTACCAGCTACAAGGCAGCCTGAACCTCCTGTTGCTTTCCAGTTATTGCTTCACAATTATAACATACAAATTCCTGAGGCGCTGATCAGGTAGGAATGGTCTTCGTCAATGAGTTTTGAACGGTGACTAAAACTACCTTCTCACAGCCCTTTTTTGGCAGCTAATATGGTAATGGCTTCTTGTCAAATTAGTAGCACTAGACCATTAAAATATATGTTACAAAATTTGTATTTTATAGTTACGTCTATATTTACCCCCAAAAGAATTTTCATCTTCCAGTAGCCTGCCAGGAGACTGAGGCAATTTATGTTCCCCTTGAAAGCTGCCCCACTGAACATTATCTGCATTTAAATTCCTTAAAGAACTGCCTAAAACCATTGAGACAGCTTTACCTTCTACATACCAGCTTGCGCATTTCACTGTCCTCAAGAAATTTAGCATCAAAGATCAAGAATAAAAGCTAGTTAAATTTTCCTCTCTTCTGGTACACCAACCGGCATGTCTCAGAGACCACCTACCAAAGAATCTAACCCTTCTGCACAACGGATTACAATTTTTACTAGTCACATGATTTTGCAACTGCTTTGCTTAAGACTGCTTGGCACTTCCCACACAAAAAGTTTCATCCCACATTTCTCAAACGTCCTCCCTTTTTACATGAAAAATAAACAAGAACAGATTTTTCAGTGTTTCCCATTTTTCCAAAAATATCATTTGCTTGGTTTTTTTACTGAAATGTACTTTTAAACCATTTCTAATTAAAAATCATTGTAGATTTTTAAATTAGTATATTAAATGGGTAAAGAGAAATAAGAAATTAAAAAAAAAACCATTTCTCTCCTTTATAGCAAATGGATTATATTTAGAGGGGAAGTAGGCTGCATGAATCTAACTAACTTCTGAAGGGCTTCTAGTGTGCAGAATTTCTGGTGGGATAGCTAGTTTACTCAAGTAAGAAAACTGAAACGATGATATTTTTCCTCAAAGAGGAAAACAAATGCTTGCTGGGTAGTATCCAAACAGCCAGCACATGCCATACCCGGATTTATTTGTGTCTTGCTTATTGAACACTACAGTTAGTTTTTCCAGGGCTGAAGGATTTAACAGTGTTAATCTGTATGTTTTTCACATCCTATTTTATCAAGCAGCTAATACAACAAAGTATATTAAAAAGAGAAACTTTAATAGATTGCCAGAAATACTTGCATTAGAAATACTAAAAAGCAAACAGTTAAGGCCACACATGTATGCTGCACTCACACATGTATCCACAAAATACTTAACAGATCTCCAGTAGGAGATTAGCAGGAATTTAGAACATTCAGAGAAACTAATGGGTCTGCAAATAAGAACAAGAGCAAATTACATTGAAGTATTCTTCATTCCTTATAGAACTCATGTGACTGAGAAACTCCCTATTCCAGGTATTAATTTTTTACTTCTAAGGAACATTAGTGGTACAGGGACAACCCTATTTTTCCAGTATTAGCATAGCTTATCATCACAGGACTAGTTAGCAAACTAGAGATTCTGTAAAGGGAACTAAGAGGCTTTTCCAGTGGAATTAATTTAATGAGACATTTGCACAAAAACAACCCCAAAACCAAACAAACAAAAAAACCTAACAAAAAAACCCCCAAACCCCACTGAGATTAGCAACACTGAAAGAAAACATTTGATTCTTTGTAACTTCTCTGGGATACATGTCTTTGGCTCCCCTCAAAACCAAAAGAGAAAGCCCTATTTTCTCTTAATATTTCTCTCTGGCACAAATCCACCAAATCTAACGGCTGAAATGATGGCCCCTCTGATACAGACAGGCACTACTCCTCTATCTGTTGGTTCCACTGCTGCTTCTATATCATGAGTTAATACAACGTTGACAAACACAGTGAAAACCAGCAAATTGCAAGATAAGGGTCAGACTGATCAACAGTAGCCCCAGAAAAGCCAATATCCTTCCCCCAGTCAAAGATTTGGTGCTGAGTTCTGAATGCAGAAATAACTTCAAACCTTTTCACTCATTACAGAGGATATAAGCAAAAGTAACTAAAAAGAGAAAGAAAAAAAAAGAAAGGAAACATAAGAGGAAAAATTGTAAGAAAAAGAACATTTTTAGCATAAAAATGCATGAAGAGAAACATCAATATCAGTTCATTACCTTTTCCTCAAAAAGAGAAAAGTACAGATGTCTCATTTGTACTTTGTTTGTAGTTTGATTTTTACGTACAGCAGGATGTTTTTATCGCAACATCAGCTTTGTTTGATCACATACATTTTTGAATCATTCTTATTTGGAACCTGAAAGAAACTTCACTTGCTATTTACTCAACAACTAGTCTAGAAGAAATTCCCTTTTTTTACTCCTGACAACAACTTTCTTGTGTGCTCCTGTGCAGTCACTCACCAAAGAAACTCAACTTTCCAAGAAAGAACTGATTGCAAAAAAAAAAAAAAAAAAGGCTAGTGTTTATGAAGTATAATTACATTCAGAGAGCTCAGTATAAAACCTCATGGATCAAAACACATTAGTTCAATTATCCAAGTTTCAAGTCCGATTACAAATATCCATGTGAAGATAATTACAGTGCAGCTGTCAGTTCTGAAAAGGCCTGCAGTACATAATGAATTGTCCTCTTATGGCTTATGGAATGAAGGAAAACATTAGCCAAGTTTTGTAATATACATATTAGAGCAGGAAAAGTTATCTCCCACTACACCAAAAGGACTGAAAAATGGCCGTCTTCTATGACAGAAAAAGCAGTAGTTTAATAACATACAGTAATGCTAATTTTATAATTTGCCATCCCAATAATTATGTTTTCATAATGGGTGTATCTCTTCAAGAAGCATGACTAGATCTGAATTTCTAATTATAAGGACTACAGTATAAGCCATACAGACTCTAGAAGGAAATCAAAGCAGTATTAAGTTCTGAAGATGTTGTTAAGATCCAGAAGAAATTTCACTAAGATGGAATTTGAATGCTCTTACGGTGATCTGTCATTGTGTAAAACCCAAGGGAAATTTTATCCAGTAACTAAATCCATATCTTATTTACAATTTTCAAACATTTTAATGAAAAAAACATTTAGTCCACTTGTAAAATTGCACCCCACCTACATGTTTCTTACAAACTTAATTTAACACTGTGTATTCCTTTGGAAACTCTCTGGACATGAAGTCCAATGTTTTAAACACAATGACTTTGAACCAAATGAAATGGATGTGGGTGGGCAAGTCACTTCCTTTTCCATTGTCTCACTTTTCCAACATGAAAAACAAGAATGATAAGGCTGACTTCTTTTCGTAAGGCACCTCAAGGTCTACAGATAGAAATCTGACTTAAGAAATTTCATCTCTCTGTTAAATCTGGCTATAAATCCAGGAGACATTAAAGTGAAATTTTCAAAGAAGGAGAAAAGGTCCACACTAACCTTCTCTCACCAGAACACTGGACCTTTGTTTAGAAAAGCTGACCGGTTCTGAAAGCATTTTCATCAGCTCACTAAATGGCACTGGTACAGACCAGCCAGCCCTCTTCCTCAGACTGTCTGTTCTGTCTCTGATCCAGCAATATGCTTCACATACTTTTAACTCAAAGCATGTGTTCCATTCATTTTAATTGAAACTATTCATGTTTAACGTTTGCCATCGTTAAGTCCTTTGCTGGATCAGGAGCAGAGCTGCTTAACAAACGACAGTATCAAGCCCATTATGTTGACTGCCAGTCTCTCAGGGGCTAATAGATAAGAAATTCTACGTCATATGAAGAGACTGAAATTCCTCTTTTGTGGCCAAGATTATCTATGAGCTGCTATCGTTAGTCATTCTTGCGCAAACAACTCTAAAATTGCATCTGGATTCAACAGAAGACAACCAACAAGATGGATTATACAAATGGCACTGGAACATCTTGCAAAAGAAGTGTGTAACATAACTGGGAAACTCTGCAATGGTGCATACTATTTGTTTCTATCTTTGGTCACATGTAAAGAGCTGAAAATTATCAACCTATTTGGTCCCTTGGTTAAAAGATTTTTTTTTGGCACAGGTTCAAGCCTGAATATAGCAACCTCCAGACCTCAGAGTAGTATAATTTTCAATCCCTGCACAGATTTGGTTTCAGTTAAGCTGCAGTCTGCTCTTGTAGCAGGGAGAGGTAGAATTTGGCTGTAACATATTCTCTAAGTACAGTCAAATTAAGCTCTTTGGTGTACCACATAATCACAAATAATTATTGTATACATACTTAAAAGCATATTCTTGTTACGTTCAGCACATGGAACTCCCACTGACATTAATGGGAATTCCATGCCTGAATGTAAAGGACACCCGTGTGTGTGGGTTTGGGTTTTGTGTTTTTCCCCTATCCTTTGAGAGTCACGATAATCTTGTAATGAAGACTTAGCCTTGGGTCTCGAAAGATCTGGGTTCAATCTGCCACGAGGTTCTTGTGAGACTTCAGGCAAGTTATTTCATTTTTCTTGTCTCTTTTCCCCATACATTAACAAATACAATACTACTTCCCCACCCCCCCTTCTTCTTGCCCTCTCTATACATCTCCTCTTCCCATTTGAAACTCTGGACTTGGCCTGTAACGTTTCATCTGCTTGTTCTCTTGCATGAGGGCACAGATTTCATTCGACTATTCAAAGCACTATCAGAGGAGAGACAATAAAAAAAGCCTAGAAGTGATGTTCATATACATGTTAAAAACCCTGTTCATAAATGTCAAAAAAGATTTGCTTCAGTCTTCTAGGAAAAATTTCTGCCATCATTTGATGTCTAAGGCCACTATACTTTCAGTATTTACCCTATTCCTTTCAATCAGTTCTTAGTAATTTTCCCAGACACCAGCATAAGAGCCAAATGAGACAAAACCTGTCAATTTTCAGCTGATTACCTGAGGGCATGGGAGCCAGTAAACACACCTCACAAAAAAATCAATGACAGCACACTGCAGTAAATCTCAGTGAAAGACATTCTTCTAGAAGAAGTATCATTCAATTTAGATAGAAATAGTTCTTAAAAACGACTGTAATCTAATCTATACATCCTCTTATTTGGCTTCTTATTTGCATAGGAAATATGACTTGAAGACATCCTGATAATAAAAAATACACACGGGTATGCTTTGACAGCCAGCCACTACAGTCCTCCAGCAAGTATCAATGTTATTTATACTTGGAAGGAGAAGGCAGAGATCAGCCTAATATTCATGAAAACAACAGAACAGTATAGTTAGTCCTACTGGAAAGAATGTCAGAAAGCAACCTTGCTATTTGGTTAGCTTAACTCTGAAAAGCAGGATAGAAGCCAGAACAATATACATTTGCAGGGGTTTATTTTGACAATGTGTTTAGTTGTTCAGTTGTTTCAGATACTTCTCCTCCTCAAATGCCAGTCCTATTTTTTAAAGGCTAATCCCAGATATTAAACAACAACCAGCTTAAAAAGCGGTACAGTACATCTGAAAACAGTAAACTACTGGTGGGATTGTTTCTAGGAGGGAAGGGTCCATGGAAACTGCTGTTTAAATTGGCAGGACACCTCTATTTCATAGAAGAAAAAATGTTCCTGTTATAAAAGACTTCTCTCGTTAGCAAACGCTGCACACAAAGGGGCAGCTGTACTTTGCTTACCTCACGTGTGACTCTTCCGTTGTTATCAAAGTCATACAGTGTGAAGGTCCATTCTTGCCTGTTATCTTCCTCTACAGACACATCACATTGCAATTCCTAAGAAACATGCAAAGAGCAGCTGATTACCTAAAGCAAAAGGCCTGTTTGCAGAGGAGACTCTCCGTAGAAGGAGGCTGCTTGCTTTCTTCCTTCCTCCCTCCCTCCCTCGCGGGAGGAAGCTTTCAGGATATGTCCCAGGGAGGCCTCTGTCCACCACAATGAAGGAGTCTCATCACAATCACACGATAATCCTAACTCCCTTGGGCTAGACTTCAGGGAATCTGCAAGATGCTTTCTACTTCATTGTAGGAAACACAAAAAGGTACAAGAAAACTACTCCCTGAAGCTCTTGAAATATAATAAGATTTCCTACTAAAAAGTGAGAAGGAAAACTCTGCTTAACTCAGGAAGAGAAAGATAACAGAAACAGACCCACAGAATAAGGCAGTACACCACAGTGCCAGGAGTAGTCGTTAGTACAAAGTGGACATATGGCACAAATCCCCACCAGTGAGACCTGTCCTTGACACGGATATTTGATACCCAAAGGTTGTCGAAGTTAGTGCAGTACAGCATCATGCCACTGAAGCTCCTGAAATGGAGCCTGCCTAGGAACTGGCAGGTAAGAACGACCTGGGAGTAGTGCCTGGTCCTTATTCTGTCAGTGAGTGCGATCTGTGGAAAGCCTGAAAGAATCAATTTGTTAAAGGGAAAAAAAATCCCCAAACTAAAACCAAGACTTCAGTCAAGAACAAAGAATGCACTTTGCTGACTCCAGTCACCTGGGTGCAAATCGTTTGCTTTCTCTCAAGACCTGCGCAATCGGAATTATCCAGCGCCACAACAAGGCAAAACAGAAAAGTTACAGTGCAATTAAAATGAAAGCCACTGTATGCAAGTAAAATAAACAGCTCCAAATAGCTTCAGCATGATAGAGCTCAAAATACCTGGCTGATCTGACTTGAAACCAATTCCCTACAGCAGTTACCGGTACCCCCTGTCCCCTGCTGAGTTCAAAGGCAGTCTTCTCTCAGTCGTAACAAGCCTGGCTGAAAGCTGCCAAGTGCCCCACACTCTACTGTGGAAACACAGTTTCATATTACATAAACATTCCCAGCACCTTTAAAAGCCAAATCACATCCACCTCAGATTTAGACCTCTTGTCTCAACACTTGCATTGCTGATTCTTTTATACCTTTGAAACATTTACCAATCTCTTAGCTCCTAGCTTACATAGCTGGAAAACTTTCATTTGTCAAACAAGGGAAAAAATATCAATACTTGGTTTCTTGCCACACATTAATACTTCCCTGTCCCACACCATTGCCTAACATAACATCTTTAGGTGAGGATGTGCTCTGCTTAGTTAAGAGCCATGGCAACCTTCCCTGCATTAGTCAAGTGCTAACCTTTATGGCACGCCAAGAACTACTTGGGAACAAACACGGACTTTGCCGCTACGATGGAGTTCCAGCTACTCTGGCACCAACCATGTTGACAGGTGTCCTCCAACGTTCAAGTATCAAGGCAGTGTTAATTGCAATTTATCATGCCTTTCCTGTCTGCAAATGTCTGCTACTCAAGGTAGAATATAAAATGTGTCTAGAAGAAGAGTTATCGCTGTGCAAAAAGAGGCAGGAGGTCACCTCCCCCCAGAAGGCACACAAGCACCTAGCAACACCTGATCTGCCTATGGGAAAGCTACCTCCTTTTAATCAATCTTAAAACAGTAAAAAATAAATCGTACCAGACTACTAAATCTGCTCTAGAGAAGGAAACGAACACTCGAGCCATGCTGCAAGGTGGCTGCATGGTCTTTTAAATAACAATTGAGGAATGCAAAGCTCATTACTGTGACAGGCTGACAGCACTGAAAGGTAGAAGTTTGCCACGTCTGCTAGAGTGCAGAGAGATGAAAATTCGTGCTGTTTCTTGCCGGTACCAGAGTATCTTCCTCCTCACCAAGACAGACAACCCTCTAACTGGATGACACTCCCTATATAATCAAAACCTGCCAACTACACACAATGTCTGGCAGTTTTATGATGTTTGTAAGTGTACAAGGAAACAGACCATCAGACTCATTGCCCTCCAGGATCGTTTTCCTCCTGCCATGTGATCAGATGGATTTCCCATGTAGCAAGTCAGGGTTATTTCACTTTGGAGGCCCAGGCACAGAAGACCGATGGTTAAGGAACCTTTCACAAACATCTTTTACACTAGGCAGATTTAACCAAGTGCAGTAGTGCATGAAAGTCAATCTAAAGATTTGATAACACAGTAGCTAGCATAATAAATTGCTAACAAAAAGGATCACAGATAAAGGGTTAAACTGAACGTCTCTTCTTACTATACATTTCAGATCCTACAGAGGAATGATCATCATTTGATCCTCTCCAAACCTGGAAATAAATCTCACTAATCACCTCAAAAGGAGCACCAATAGTAAGACACTGACTTGTGCCAATTCTGCTTCCTCCTGTACCCATTACAATCGTTGGGAGCTATATACATTCATCAGAGGACACTATTTGGTCCACAGGTTATTTTTCTACCATAATTATGTCAGTACAGTGAAACTTTAAAATATAGAGGACTTACTTCAAATTTCAGTTGCTTCTTGGAACCTGTGCGTGTGTCACTTTCTTTTTCTGCTTTCTTTTCATCTCCACTGCAAACTCCATCTGTCTTCTCTGGAGGCAAAGCCACTGTGAAAAATATATTTAAGAAAAAACGCTTATAAGAAAATGTCAAAGCAGTCTTATATTTGCAAATCTGTCTTTACATTTAGGGTGAAATTGATTTCAGCAAACTTGTACGAGAGGATCATTATACTTGATTTGCTTCTGTCTTCACTACACGTCTGGGATAATTTCAGCAGACAATTTACCAACAGCTTTTGGTACACAGCCTCTCCTACAAACATCACTAGAGTCACAGGAAGTTCAAACACAGTATTATGAGAATATAACCAGAACTGTTACTGTCAGTTGAATAATTTGCAAAATATTGAAAGTTTATGACATATTGCAAAAACACACTGCATTCACCAGCAGTGAATGAAGTAATGAAGCTGAAATGAAGTCCTCATTCTATTCCAATTTCCCTCTTCAAATACACACAAACCTTACTACCTTCCAAAAAGTTAACACTACCTCCCAAAAAGGTTAAGCTGCATTTTTTCAGGTATGTATGAAAAAGTATATTTCACCTAAGTTTCAATTTAAAACATTAGCACTTGCATAATTCAATAGCATTCATAAAGAGCATCAATACTAACATCTATCAGACATATAACACAACATACCGTAACATAACATATATCAAATATATAACAGAAAGATATATATACTTCTCATGTGGATTAAAAGACAAATGCCCAGGAACTTAATAGCTGTGCCTTTGGCTCCTGCAGAGGCACTCAGCCTTGCACATGATGAAACCCTATATCTGAAGAAAATTAATTCTATATTAATTAGCGTTATGAAAATATACACAGATTTTTTAACCCTACCCTCTAACTTTTTAGATATGATTTTTTTTATACATCCACATACCTCTGCCAACAATGTTATGCCCATACTTCATTAGGCATAGTAGTAATCCTGCCTACTCCCCAAAAAATAGAAGATATTGCAAGAATGTGGGTCTCAAAAGTCAGTATTTTTTCTCTTGCACCACAGCATTTGCATTTACCCAAAGCCTTTATTCTAATGCTATGTAGGAACCGTTTCTTGGGGATGCCTTTGTCAGTAAGATCTCACGTAAGTGCCAGGTCAGTAAAGTCAGATTCCTTACAAAAAAGGAGACATGATCCCCTCCAGTTCAGGATGATCCATTTCAAACTGGGTTTACTCTGTGGCTCTCCTGGTGTTCAGCACTACTGAGGTGCCTCCCAAGGATTCTCCCAGGAAAGCAAGTCACTAACGTGCTAGAAATGAAGATGTTATATTGGCCATTTTTCAGTGTTTCCTTTCACAGTTAAAATAGAACAATTAGCTTAAAAAAAAAATAATCTACACTTACCATGTAAGTGGTAGCTTACACTAAAGCTTACACTCTCAGAAATTCCAAAAGCTAAGATTTCTGCCACAACATTCACATTGCCACACTGCAATATATATCACATTTTCTAGTCTTATTTCTTTGTTTAAATTTAACACGACTGTATAACTTTTTTTTTGTTTTCAAAACTGTTGTATATTATAAAAGATTCTGGATGTGAAGTAAAGAAAGGGGGAATGAGGTAGAAACCCAAACCTTTGGAATTTACTGACTTTGACACTTATTTGCCGTTTTGATGTTATACTAATGCCAGCTTCCCGAGACGCACATGTAATTCGCATCGTACAAATGCAAGTAGACATGGAGTTTATCATACACATACTCACACACTGATACACTTTGATTTCTGCTCCAAGCCATGTTAGGATTCCCTACACCAAACATAAGCTAAGCAGGAAGGTCAGCTGAAGGAAGAGAAAGCTCACTTCACAGCAGTTTCTTCCCTTGTCCTTTTAACCTGGTGTTACCGGACAAACAGGGACTGTTTATTAGGAGGTTTTTGTATAGTTTTTATCATAATGAAGGCACATATTAAGATAAATATTACTTAAAATACAGAACTTCGAAGTATATCTGAAGAAGGGTCATTTGCTTTATACTCACTTTGTCCACAAATACAACTCCATATTCCTGGAAGTTCAAAGCTAAGGCCACAAAAAGACACCCATAAACCAAAAGACAATATTTGGTTGTCTACCTTAGTCCAGCCTTCTTGTTTCCTTCTAAAATCAGCAAGAAATGAAAAGGTAACATGGGCCTGCATAACAAGGACAGTTATATTGACAGTGGTTCTTCATAACTATTAAATATGCCCCTAGATTTTCAGTGGCTCATGTGTACCAGTGATCAGTTTCTCACATGAACAGTTCTAACTAAGCTGACAGAAACATTTGTATGAGGGGCTTTTGCAATCCCTCACAATCTCACTCTAGGGAATGTGAAATAAATGAAAGCTGGGCTGGCATGATCCCTAGCTTCGTTGGAACAGTGGACAACCAATTGAAGAAAAAAAAAAATCCACCCCTGTTAAGTTTCTCACATGAACAGTTCTAACTAAGCTGACAGAAACATTTGTATGAGGGGCTTTTGCAATCCCTCACAATCTCACTCTAGGGAATGTGAAATAAATGAAAGCTGGGCTGGCATGATCCCTAGCTTCATTGGAACAGTGGACAACCAATTGAAGAAAAAAAAAATCCACCCCTGTTATCACACATACTTTTAAATGTATAAAGGTACATAATGGCCAAAAGACTTCTACAGTGGTCTTTTATCTGTTAAGGGACAGCATCCCAAATGACATTGGCATGGCAAACAACATTAGGCTGAGAGCATTGAGAAGCAGATCCTGCACAAGATGACTATTCCCTGCCCTAAAGCTCTTTGTTGGGTTTTTCTGTCAAAACGAAGTGTCTTACAGAGCATTCTCTCCCTTCCACCACCGCGCTCGTGCACTGTGCTGAAAGCTGCTGGCATGTGCAAAAAGCACCAGAGTTCCCCAGTCTACAGGGTGCTTCAGAGAGGAACGGCACAGAGTTACCTTCTGGTTTCAGGAATAGCCCTTCCACTGGCACGTTTAATAACCTTTCTAGATGTACAGTTTGTGTTCAGATAGGAAGCTTTCACTTTAATGTATAATTTATGTAACAAAGGAAAAAATGTGCTCTGACAAATTAGTCTTCTCAAAAAACAAGAGTTCAACTATTGGGGAAGGAGGGGATACATCTTGCAGTACACTCCTTTAGAGAGTTTAAATACTGTATGCCAGAAATTATCCTCTTTGAGCTTTGCTGACCTTTGATCTGAAGAACTCATTGGCCTTGCTGCTCCAGGGAATTATCCTTTGAAATCAGTTACTCATTTTGGAGCTCAGATGAAATGGGGAAATCTGGTGATCTCATCCTGATGTCAAGTTTCATTCAGCAAAGAAAAATGAAATCTAAACGAGGAAACTTTAAAGGGGAATATGGAGGTATTAAAACAATATTTACGAGTGATCAAATAACATGTCTGTGCATATATCCTCGTGTGACTTATCCAAACCCAATGACCATTTAAAAATACATACCGGAGTACCTGCTTTGTCTCAGAAGAGAAGGATAAGTGTTTGGTATCTTGTTTCTATACTTAGTTTTGACTATTGACATGCGCTCAATTTCATGAAGGATACAAACACATACTGAACCTACTTATAAATAAAATGAGAATGTCTGCTTGGGACAGTTAAAACTGGCAGCCTGTAAACAGAGATCCACCAGTGAGCCGCATGCCAAGGTTCAGATATATTCACAATGTGAACTTTCTTTCAGCTCTGCCAATGATATTAAACTAGACCAGACAAGATTGCTATCTCAAAGGAGTGTGGAGAATTAATAGACTTGTGTTTCCAAAGTCTAGGCCATCAGAAATAGGTCCACATACAATATTTCATCTGTGCAAAAATACTTACCTCCCCACTCAGATAACAAGTCCTGACAAAGAGAACGCTCTATATAGATGAATATACAGAGAAACCTACCCTTGTTGTGGGAATCCACAACTGGAGGGAAAAAAAAAAGTGTATTTATTGCTTCTCATGGGAATAACCATATGCTCTCAAAAACAATGTTCCCTAACAGAATGTTTCATGAATTGAAATGCTGCATATGTTTTCTTTATGATGTTCTCTTTTCTTGTTCATTATTAATGGTCTTGTATTCACTCCTATAACCTTAAGACACTATAAAAATGCGTCTGGACAATATTTGAAATTGGAAAGACAATAAAGGAAAAATATTAACTTGGAAAAATTGTGAAATACCATTCTTTCATGAAAAACAAACTGACTGGCTTAAGTGTACTAGCAGATGTTTCTCTCTAAGATTGTTAATTACTACCACCCAATTGCTTGTAATTGAGGTGGGGGAGGAAGAGACGGAGAGAATGAACACCGGTTTAAAGGTATTAAGACTCATCCCTGAAGAATTAAGTCTTTTTTTCAGGGATTTATTCATTCCTAAGAAAAGAAAGGGGTAATAATTCCAACTGCTCCTTAGGAATCACCAAAAAATCCCAGAAATGAGGTAAAACTGATTGCTGCGCTGCTTGTATTGAATGAGCATAGAATACTAAGCTTCAGACAGCCAAACCATTCTTCACTCACCTCCGTCCTGCATCTGAGAATCAGGGGGGGAAAAAACAGAGCGCCAAAATACAGCTGCAGTCAAGTCAGGTCAAAAAGTGACTGTTTAAACTTTCACCCTCACTCAGGTGGCTTGTCATTTCAGATTTTTCAAAGCCTCATTCAAGCAAAGCACCATCTCTTTAACAAATGATCTTCCTTCTCAAAGTAAGGACAGTTTCACTCTGTTTTGCAACTGTACTGAGCATTTTAATCAGATGGATTAAGAGGATCTTGCGGCCAGAAACAGAAAAGGATGCAACCCTGATGAATGTTCAGGTCTGAGTTACAGCTACCAAGTCCAGATTTGCACAGCAGTTAGGAGAACTCAGGCTAAAGATGAACTACTTCAGAGCCTCTTTGGGATGACAGCCATTCCAAAAGGCATGTGATGGATCACAGGGCCCTAACTCAGAAAGCAGAACTATGGGAGAAGCTATGCAATTCCACAGTGATAAATTATGGCTGGACATTACCAGTGAC